AGGCCCTCTCCCCACCGCTGAGCTGCGAGTCGATAAGCTGAGGGACAGGGGACAGCTTCTTGCCAAAGCAAGCGGGCAATTAACAGCTGGTAACAGGGAGAGAGCGTGACAGAGCAGCTCCACGCTGCGTGTCACTGTCACACTGCAGTAATGGATGCGGCAGCACGCGTTAGTGCAACTCTGCTGTCTCACGCCACCCCAAAACGCCCGGCCCCGGGCTGAGCTGATGCCCCGCAGCTCTGGGGCAGACGTGGAGCTCACCCCGCTCTCAGGAGCTGCTGTCAGAGCGGGATGGACGGACGTACTGCCTCCCCAGGCAGATACAAACAGCTACAGGAGCAAGGTGCCCTTGACAGGAGAAGGGTGCCGATCGTGCCTGTGCTGGGGGAAGGTCCCTTCTGCCTCCCGGGCGGTAGCTCACACAGCCACAGAGCAGTTCGCTCATAAGCGGAGACGAAGACAGCCCGTAACCCCAAGGAGTAATTCACGTGATAAATCCTGCTCCTTGACAAACAGGACTGAGCTCACGCGTCCGACCTATGAGTCTCCCGGAGCTTTCTCCTTGCCTGACGCATACCGTGCCCGGGAGCGGGGCAGCTACCCGCAGTCCCAGGACCATAGCTCCCAGGGTCTGAGGACACGGGCTGGCGTGCGTGCACACGTCTTGTTTAAAGGAAAAAGGACGATTGGTTTCCCCCCAAACTCTCAGGAAGAAGGGGATATCCCTCCCTGCCGAAGGCAACCTGGGGACAAGGCAGCCTGGGCAGCAGAGCCCACGGCACCGGTACTCACCGCCAAAGCCGACAGCCATGAAGCGTGCTTCAGGAGACAGGCTGAGCGATGTGGCGAAGTACGGCAAGGAGATCTTCTCAACTACCTGCGCTCCAGCAAGAGAAACACACCAACACCTCAGAAATGAGCAGGCAGGAGACCAGGGCTGCTGCAGCGACAGTCGTTAGGAGGGTGAAGGGCTCCTCGCAAAGGGGAGGCTGACAGATGCACAGCACCTCTCAGAGCTCAGAAACCTGCCAAAGGCATCAGCTTTCCAGAGGGGACTCGACTCAACGATTCAGAGACCCTCAGCGCTCCTGAAAGCAAACAAAGGAGGGAGAGGCAGCAGGGCGGCAGCAGGGACTGGCAGCCTGCCCAGGCACAGCCGGGGGCAGGGGCCGGGCCCTGCCGCTCACCCGTTACCTGGGCCAGTCTTGGGAGTTTCCGAGTCGAAAAGCTGTTGCCCCGAGCGGCTGCTCGCCTGAGCCCACCCCACACCCTCAGACTTGGCTTTCCTCCCAGGGCAGCGCTGCCTCCCGCCACCGCGCACCTCGTTCGAGGTGGCCACGGCCCCGCAGCGGCAGAGGAGCTCCCGTGCCACCCCGGCAGGGCACAAGTACCTGTTTCTTGCGCAGACTGTAAAACAAGACTTCCTTCTGCACCCCAAAGCCGACGTAGACCAGGGTACCGGGTTCCCAAGGGCAGAATGCGGCCAGGCTGGGCGGGAGGCTGCCGAGACCCTGGTGAGGGAAACCAAAGGGAACAAAATCAAAGCTAGCTTCTCCAGCCCGACCCAACACAGTGGGGGACAAGAGGAGGGCAAGGAGGGACACCAGCCCTTGGGCTGCGGGTGTCCGAGCAGCGGGGAATTAGCACGATGGAGGCTGTTTTCCTCCCTCTTGCATTGCCATCTCAGACGTGCTCACGTCAAAGCGAGGAGCAACCACACACTGCCATGGAAACCTGAAGCAAACTGTTCACCACCGTAGGAGCAAGACACATGAGGGTCCAACAGGTTGAATTTCCACCGAGGCATTATTGCGACGTGGGCTTGAAGGTGGGATTGGGTTATGGATCGGTTTAACACAAGAAAATAGGACCCAGAAGACAGATCTTTAGTAGTGGATGCAAGATCAGTCCTTCCCCTGTTCACTGTCGGGAGACCTGTAGTGAGTTTCTTTCACGGAGAGGAAATCCGTCGTTTTGGAAACAAACGGAAGAAACATTGGCAGAACCCAACCGCTGTAGGGGCCCGGACGGTGCTTGGCCCTGAGGGTGCCAGGCTGAGGCACCACCGCTTGCCCCCCCAAAAAGACCCAGCTCCCTTCTGCATGCCAGCGTCACGTGTACCGGGGACCATCCCCGCGTCCTCTCCGATACAGACCCTCCTCCCCTTTCTAGCAGGTGTCCTGCTGCCCAAATCTCACACCTGGGTTGGAGCCAAAGGGTTCCGCAAAGCATCACAGACACACAGGGCTAGAGTAACTTGGCTCTGCGAACCCGTCACTGGGCTCCTGGCTCTGAATATTCATGCTCTTTGGGAGCGTCAAAGTTAGCAGCGTGCTCATAATTAGGTCTCTCTTCTGCGCGCTGTGCTGGCTGCTGCCCGTGCTCTGTTTTGCGTAGCACGGGGGTGTCGGCTCTTTGCAGATGCGGTTTTTGACTCCTCACGCTTACAAAGTCAGTGCTTCCCAGCGGTTAGGCACTGCCACAACTCCCGCTGCCCTTCGACACGCAAGAAGGTGCATTAACAAGATACTCTGCGAGCAGCAGAACTAATGAAGATGACTTTCCTAAGCACACACTCTCTCTTTGGCCCCGTCCCGCTCAGAGCCTTGGAGCATCCCTCCTCCAGCCCGGCTGGTGCCGAGATCTGTGGCACGAGCAGGCAGGGGCTGGCAGGGGCCCCAGCGGCCGGCAGGAGCCGGGAAGCTGAGCCAGTCGAGGAGCTCGCACTTGTCCTTCAGCCAGTCGGAGGCCCAGACGCTGACCCGCCGGTCCGAGCTGGTGGCCAGCCAGAGCTCGCCTCCTTCCACCCCAAAGTCGCGGTACTACGGAAGATAAACGCAATGCTGCGACTCTGGCAGTACAGAAGCTTTAGAGAAAGCTGCCACTAGAGCTAGCATGGGGCAGGAACTCGTGGGAACGCAGGCCTTACGCCGTAGGGGATCAACGCCAGGATTAACCTCTATTTGGGCACTAATCACAACAAAATAGGACAAGGAAGCCGTGGTACCGGCACCAGCGGCACGCTCCAGGCTGAAAGCCCCCGCAGAACAGGCTGCTGGAGGAGGGGTGAGCGCCTGGCCTGAACGACACAGATCTCTTCCCCGGGACGCCCTCTGGATCTGCGCATCTCCTAGGGGAGTGCTTGCAGATACCGTGTGTCCCCTAACAATGTCCTTCACCTAAAACTGAGGAGGATCTCCTAAGCCTAGAAATACCAGGGAACACAGCCTTGCAGCATGGATGATTTTAAAGCCTGAGAACTTAGGCAAAATTGTTCTCATTTCCACTGCGCAAAGGAAGACGACTCTCCATGAAGAGAAGGACAAAGGAGATGCTAAAACCATCACACTGCTGCACAACCAAGTCTTCCCAGCTCCACAGAGGAACCGTGCAAAGAGCCAGCTACACACAGGAGGCCAGGCTGCCAAGGAGCGAAGCGGGGAAAGCATGCCGAGCCCTTTCTCGGTGGCACAGGGGCTGAAAGAACACAGCCCGGCTGCTCTGCACACCAACAAGGGGTGCTTGCTCTCCGAGAGCTCGCGGCACGGGCACACATCGCATCTGCCTGCAGTGTGTCTGCAACAGCCACCAAACGTCCCCCCGCCCGCAGGCACAGCCTCGCTCAGGGTTGCACCTGCAACGCCTGCAGCTTCACCCCACCGAAGACATCCCTAGAAAAACCGAACAGAAGTTACTGGAGGGGACGGGGCCCTGAAGAAGAAGGGCGAGGGACAACGAAGCAAACTCGCTGACCGACCCGGCCACCCTGCTGCTGCTTCCCACAGCTGTGCAGTGACACACGGGGAACTCGGTCCCGCACAGCACCGGGGCAGAGGGCGAGGTCTCACCTGCTTCCTGGTGCACTGGAGAACAGTGATGGGGGAGCCTTTGTGGTCAGCGAGGACGCGGATAGTCATTCCGGTGCGAGGGCTGCTGACAGCCACGAGCCCGTCCTTGCCCCCTGATAAGATCATTTCTCCTGTGGGCAGAGGAGAGAAAAGAATGGGACACTTCTTGTAGGAGAAGAAAAAGCCCATAGGAGAAAGGTCCGAGATCACGGGACACCGGTTTCCCAAAACACCGTGAAAGGCTGGGAACATCTGAGTCAAGGGCTTGGTAAGATGAGATGTCTCAGAAACACCCACTAAAACACCACACTGAAGAAGAGCCACTGCACATTGTAAGCAGGAGGACACAAAGGAATGCTTCTTGTACCCAAACCCCTTTGCTATGCCATTGCCAATACACCTCCTGTGTCCCATTTACCACAGGCTCAGCTGGCAGAGCTTACCAAAGCTCACTGATACAAGTTCTCTGGCTCTCCCTGGCCTCAGGTTTTTGGGCAGGAGGTCAGGGTAACCCAGGCACAACCAAGCCGTGCTCCCCAAGGTGACATCTCCCCACTGTTACAACGGGCAGCCTCACCGTCTGTGGAGTAGGCGATTGCTGTCAGCGCAACGGCATGGGGGTGCATTTTCAGCTCCATCTCTGTCCTGGAAATGCTGAACACGCGGATCTTGCCATCACTGTCCCCTGCCACTACATGCTGGCTCTCAGCTCCCCACGCAACGATGGGGCGAGGCTTCCAGGCCAGGCACTGGCAGCTCTGCAAAGGAACCAGGGCAGGGACCCAGTGACACAGTGACGACGGGCAAGCGCACTAAAAGCTCCGCCTGCAAGTATTTCTCCAGCTTTAGTCTGCTCCACGAGGACACAGCAGTCCTTGCAATCCCAAGCAGTGGGACTGTGCCCTCTACCAAGAGGAAGAGACTGACGTACCGCAAACAATTACCTGGTTGAGCACCTGGAACTGTACCACTAGCTCCATGCTGCCCAGAGACCAAATCCTCACGCTGCCATCTTCCCCACACGTTACGCAGTGAGTCTCGTCAGGACTGAAGCACACTTCAGTCACCTGCAGCGAGAACGGAGGTGGGGAACAGGGGCCCTACAAACGCTGCAGCCTAGAGGACATCAGCTCCTCTGCCCTCTCATCCCCCAGGACCCCTCTCATGGGAGACACCAGACAAGAAGCCCCAGACGTAAAGGAAGGTGGGGTGCTTTGGTTTTGTCCTTAAATCTTGGGCTGACAACGAGGCTTGTAATGGAAACCAGTAAAGGTAACCCCAAAGCTAGGACCAGGCACTACGCAACATAGGTGTAAGTAAAATGCCTTCTCTTCTACCATTTGAAATCTTTTTTTCTGTAGCATAAAGACACCCCAAAGCAACAGCAAAATTCAAACCAGTCATTCTTCACCTGGTTTGGGGGTTTTTTTAACGTTTTAGGCAAAGAAAACGTTATCTGATGTGGATGTCCAGCTAGCAAACAGAAGGCAGAAGTCACAGCACTCAGGAACAAAGCCTGCAAACTGCGTTCTTCCGCTCCAGCAGAAAGGCCCACAGCTGCTCACATCCTGAGGCTGTTAAACACCTAAGGCTAGAGCGGATGAGCTCAGACTTCTTGATGTTGGACTCCTCAGTGCGCCCATTTCTCTCTCGACTCCTCTGTGTTGTCCCGTCGGCACCAGCGAGCCCTGCAGCTTCCTGACCTCTCCCATGGCCAGACCAGGGAACGCTTCTGCAGCCCACACACGCTTCCCGGGACACGGACAGCACACACGGCACTCGCTGCTCTGCGGGACAAACCACCCCAGCCCAGCCCTTCTAACCTTGTTCTTGTGGCCACTGATTAGTCGGATGCTTGTGCTCTCTGTCCAGTTGATGTACCACAGGGTTCCTGCCGTGGTGCCCACAATTCCCATTTCTAGAGAGTCATCAAAGGCCGCACTGACTATTGTCCCGTCGAGGGTGATCTCATGTTCTAGCAGGACTGAGCTAGACCTGGAGGAAAGGAGGATGCGAGAAGGACTGGCTCAACTGTTGGAACAGCCACTCTGCCTCCTTGAAATGCAATTTTCTAGTGAGCCCAGTCACGTGTTTGCAGCTAAATGGTTCAGTGAGGAGCTCCTGTACATTGAACAGCGACTACCATTGCATTTGCACCGCAACCATCTTTTATAGGAAAGAAAGAAAGAAAATGGGGGATGCAGTAGTGTGAGACAAGAAACAAAGGCAGTGCGTTTTCACTAATTCTCTTAAAGGAGTTCCTACAAATCACTGACACAAACTTCAGGCATGATAAACTCCACCCATTTCCAGTATTAAGAGGGTTCAGCTACCTGTGGCAAAAATTCAGTAAAAAGATGCAGACAGAAAGAATCAGCAGTCACGGGATGGAGAGGAAAAGCTAAGGGTGAAGAGCAACAGGAGCAGCGTGGTTGCAGCCAGAGCCAGTGTCTGTCTGCGAAAAGCCACCTCTCAGACAGGTCCTGGGAGCTGCCAGATGAGGGGAAGAGCATCTCAAGAGCACAGAGCGTTCCCGAGACGGGCGCAAGCACGGCGGAGACGCTGGGGCCACGACCTCCTACCTGGCATCGGGACCTTTCAGCCTCAGCTCCTGCACGGCGGCCACTGCCCACAGGCGGATGCGTTTCGTGTTGCTGCCGCTCACCAGCCTGTTGCGCCGACACACCAGCACACCTGGGAGGCCACAGGGGAACGGAGGGCACCCGTGAATATCCACCGCTCTCGGCCATCGCCCAAGGTGTGCTCCTGACAGCCAGGCCACTGATTCATTCGGGCAGTGCAGCGGGGGTCTTCTACAGCCCAATACCCAGCGTTTTTACAGACTAGAGGTGAACCCCCGAGGAAACCCAGGACCCCGAGGAAACCCAGGTCACAGATCCATTGCCACCCCACACATCTTGCATCCGACAGCAAACTGGTTTACCGAGCACAGCTGAAATCGGAGGTCTGCAAGCTCATTGCTGTTCTTTCCTAACGAGTTCCCTGTTACAGCCCTGACAGACGCCCGGGGCATTTGCACCCACCGATCTCGCCCTCGTCGGCCTCCCACGTCATGAAGCAGCAATTAGTCTCGGTGTCCCACACGCAGATCTGGCCTGAGTTAGTCCCACTATAAAGAAGAGTGTCGGCACCGTAACAGAGAGAGGTCAGCTCCACCGGCCCTAACACGTCCGGGGCAGGGGCCCGATGAACCTGCCGGAGCACAAAAAACAAACGTCAAAGAGAAAATGGTGCTTACCTACATCAGAACCCCTCCCTGCTCCGTCTACCCTCAACTGAGGCAGTTAATGCCTCAAATACAATTGAAAGCCACTCACGGCCAGCTAATGATGATTTCTAAGAGAAATCATCAGTTCTCACAGACCTGTGGGGGCAGAGCCTCCGTCGCACTCACCAGGGGCTTGGAAAAGAAGTCAGAGATGCTGAACAGAAATTTTAAGAGAAGGTAAAACTGAGGTTTACCTTGAGGTTGACATCAGCTCCCTGCTGCTCCAATAGCCAAAACATCACGGCTCCCTTCCCCACGCAGGCCAGTTCTCTGTGAGAAAGAGGACTAAAAGCCACGTCATGGACTGGCTCCGAGATACAAGTCGACGACATGAGTTCGTACGTGTAGGTATTCCACAGAGCAATGGTTTGATCGCTGTAGTCCCCTAGGTAGAAGATGAAAGACAGTAGGAGGAAAGCCTGCAGCCTCAGTGTTTCTTCAGGACGCTCACAAGCATACACACAGCACACATGCATCAACTGTGTCGCTCCCTTATCCAGTTGTTCGGAGACAACTGCTGCAGACACCGTCCCAGGCATGGACATGGCTCCTTGCGTACTCAGCAAAAGCTGCACGACGTGACGGGTCCTCATCCGAGTTGAGGACAGATATAACTGGCCCAGTGCTTCATGCTGGAGGTTGTAGCAAATCCGGCCCTGCCGCGGGGTCTGCAGCCAGCATTTGAACCGGCCGACGGCTGGCGTGGTAGGGATTTCAGCAGGCAGAGCAGGTTTTCTGCTGTTTCTACATCCTTAGGAGCTACTGCACACCTCAACATATGCCCCACACAAGCCCTCCAGTGAATCTGTGCACTCGGGGCTAACAACAGTCTTGAAATAAGAAAGGGATGCCACCATTGCTGAGGTCAAAGCTGAGATGGGAGCTGATCTTAATGGAAGCCACCATACCTGGGTAGCAGCAGAAGGCACTGGCCTTGGTGATGGCAAACATCCCCAGCTCCCAGAGGAGGGACAGTGCTCTCCTGCTGCCTTTCCCAGGCTCCATAACCTCAGTGGAGACTTTCAGCTTTTCTCTTCTCTCCAGACCAGAGCTGGAGGAGGAGAGCTCCTCTCCCACGCTACTCCGTGGAGAGCACAAAGCTCTCTTCCTCTCCAGCAAAGCTTGCTTTTTTCCAAGGGCAGACTCACCAGCCCAGAGAGAGTGTATTGCCTGCTCCACAGGTCCCCTCTCATGCAAAACAAGAACTTGCTAATTGCATATTTGTCCTTTAAATGTCCCTTGCCTAAACAAAACAGACAGCTTGAGCATCCCCCTTGTGCTGGCATCGCTGCCTGGCAGGAGGCTCACAGTTTGAAGCCTGGCTACTTCTATGCGATTCCACCTAAGCAGCAATAAGAAGTCCAGAAGAAGGCTTTTCCCTTTGGACACTATATATAGTAACTGCAAACTATTTCCATGGGCTTAACAAGCACTAGCGAGCCAGGAGAAGAAAGCTGTAATTTCAAGAAAAACAAGCTAGCTGGGGCAATGAGGAAGAACTGCGGGGAGCTGTGGGAGCCCAGCGTCCGTGCCTGGGCTGAGACGTGCGCTGAGACGCACAGGGCGCGTGCTTCCCCTCGAAACGCTCCCGACAGCGCCCTGGAAGCACGCTCAGCTCCAAAGAGTACCTCTGCAGGGGGTCACTCTCAGGAGGACCGGAGATCACTTGCAGTTTTACGTGCTGCATTATCCATTGCCCTGAGGCTACAAAGCAACAGCTTCATACCCACGAGCCTGGTACGTATCTCGCAGGTATTGCACGCTTACGGCATCTTCCTCCCATGAGCTGTCTACTCTAGGGTGTAGTCCTGCACCCACACCCGGTGTTACAGGCGTACTCACCTAGGGTAAGAAGGAATCTATCATCCCGAGAGAATGCCATGGCTTGTACTTGCGTCTCGTGATGGAAGAGACTTGCTGTGCAAACCCCATCCTGCACGTTCCAGAGGCAGATCTGACAATGGGAGTCTCCATTCCTCTTTCCTGAGGCAGAGGCAAGAACCTAAGAGACCAATATGTTGTCACTGAGACCTTGGTAAGTAATTAGAGAACACTTCATTAGTTAGTCAGTCTTCGCAACTGTTAGTCTGAAATTAAAGTGACGTGGTTGGCAAATGAAAAATTCTGCGAGAACAACCATCAGCTGACGGTAGGAAGGAATGGTAACATCACCCAGAGGAAGGGAGCAGCCTTTACTGTCACACTGAGCCAGCACAATGGAGAGCTAGGCTCCAAAAACATTTATTTTATTTCCATAACCCCAGGTCTCCAGGCAGCAGGCAGAAGAAGGGAACGGATAAATGGGATTTTAGTCTGTGACATTCCTTTAGCCTAAGGCGACACAGACAAAACCCAGCCCGGGGCAGCAGAAGCCTCTCCTACCTGGGCATCGTGGCTGACGGCGAGCGTAGAGATCTCCTCCGCGTGGCCAAGCCAGTGATTCTGTGATCCCGAGTGCAGGTCTTCAACTACGATGACGCAGCCACAGGTGTAGGCGAAGAAGCCTAGCAGAGAGGAGGAGATGGGATGTTTTCACGTAAAGGCTTCACATACAGCACCCACTACAACCTGCATCACAATTCCGGAAAATTCTTTTTTTCAGTAATACGTAAAAGCTGACTCTTCTACGCAGCCTGTCAGCATCCTTCCCATCAGGTTGAGAGTGGAGTAAAATCTCACTTCCCCTAACCTGAGCAAAGCAAAGCTGTTGGGCATCACTCCAGCCTGGAGAAAGGAGGCGAGATGGCCTTTGTGAGAGCCTTCCCTTCTGCTCTATCCACTCAGCAACTGAAGCCTGAGTCTGCCCCTATCAACTAACGTTTGCCAACAGGAAAAAAGAAGGGTTACTGGATTTTACCAACGCAAAGAACCCCTGTGTTAAAGCAGAGATCCCAACCCAACAGCTAGAAAATCGTAACCTGGCTCAGTACACACACCTCCCGCCCCTCCGGAGCCTTCCTGGCGTACCTGTGTCCGGGTTCCACACCATATTCCCTCTGCCGTTCCCGTTGTAGCCGATCACTGCTTTTAGCTTCAAGACCTCACTGCCAGCTGGAGGAGATAAGAAACTCTACAAGAAAAATAGACACCGGCTTAAAATAAGCTCTAGAAGGATGGCCCGGTCAGGTACATTCAACGCCCGTGTAAGAAAAAGCGTGCGTGCAAGCACACACACGTCCTCACACACACAACACGCAAATCTGTGCCAATACTCGCGCAATTCAAGTTCAACACATCCACAGATGAATACCGAAGTGCGCACTTATACATACAAAAGAGAAACTGCACCAGCAAAACCAGGCACAGATGCTTTCAGATGGGGCGCAAAACAGGCTGGCAGCAACTGCCCAGCCGATGAGCAGCTGCTAATCCTGCTGGGAAGGAGTTCAATGGGTTTTGCTGACTTGGGGATGTAGATGTTTCAATAGGAAGACAGTGGGGGGACAAACTGCTACCAGGTGGAGGGACAGAGGAGAGAATTGAGGGTGCAAGCTGAATGTAGCTTTTCTCCCAGCACCGCAAACACCAGAGCTTGGGAAAAGGTTGAGTTAAGTTTCTGTTTTATTATTGCTCTGTTTGTTAACAGAGCGAGAGCTGTGCCTTGACTATCTTCACTACGCTCGATGGATTGCCTTCCCCAGCCTGCTCTGCCAACGCATCTGCTCGCAAATATGGGTGCATGATGAATCACTCCATTGCTCACTCGTCTTTCACTTACAATAGCACATGCCATTTCCATTTCTTTAGAATAAAAATGTATGCAGATTTGCTGAACAGAAAAAGAGTTGATCACAACTCACTTTTTACTAGTCTGGAAAGAGCTGCATGTAGAGGAGAAAGGGGAACTAATGTTAGGAGTTTCTAATTGAACATCAGGCCCAGGGGTATATTTCACAAATTGCTTTCAAACAGAGAACAAAATGGAAACAATTTGGAAAATCCACCTACCCCAGCCCCAAAATGCCCGTTCGCCACCTGCCCAGGTAACCAGCCCTGGCACAACTCTCACCTGGGGGAGCACCGATGCCTTAAAGCGAGGAGTGAAATGCCGGTAGGAATCTGGGCGGACGGAGCACTGGGACTTGGGACTTTTGGTCTCCTTTCTGGGTTCTGCCACACAAAGAAGAAAACAGTACCTATGGGATGCTGCTCCCGGGAACGGTTCCGGAGCAGCTGCTAGGCTGTGGCTTGCTGTCCATTCAGATGCTGTGTATGTGCGTGCATACACACACACACACACGAGGCAAAAATCAGACTGAA